AGAAACTGGCTGCATGCTGCTGGGCAGCCTGGAGCAGGAGCAGGCAGGCAGCGCTTAGGCCTCGGGAAGCGGCTCACTGGCGATCCCGGCCGGATCCTCCAAAGACTTCCAGGCGGGGGTACTGGGCAGGAGGAAGGGGCTGGCCAGGGGGTGGCAGGGCGTGGTGGGCTGGCACTCTCCGGCTGCACGGGGGTCACCTGCAACCCCCCCCCCCGTTCCCCAGAGCTCACAGACGCCACGCAGCCTGGGAGGGCGACACGGGCAGCCACAGGTCAGCAGGCAAATTGGGAAGCCACACCGCCGGGGAGTGGGCCAATGATCGGGCGAGCAGAGGAGGGGCTCAGGAGGGGAGCCTCTCCCCCGGCCCCCGGCCCCTCACGGAGTGGGGCGCCGAGGCTGTAAAGCAGAGCGGCAGCCCCTTCGGAGCTGGGCACGGCCCGGCCCCAGGGGCCAGCTGGCCAGGGAGCAGGCGGGCTGTGCAGGCCACCTCCTCTCCCCAGGCAGGGGGGGCCTTGCCCCCCCCCCCCCGCCGTGTCCAGCAGCTCCCCCTCCTCCGAGCAGCACCCAACTCCCGGGCGGCAGAGCACAGAAGGCCCGGCTCCGCACAGCGCCCGATGCGCATGGGGGGCACACGGAGGCTGGGGAAGCCACACTCGGCCTGCCCCCTACTCTGCCATGCTGTACATTTGAGGCAGCCCGCCTGCCTGCCTCCCTTGCCCCCCAGGGGTTCCCAGGGAACAGCGGGCCGCCTGCTGACCGAAGCAAGCCAGAGCTTTTCTGCGCAGAAAGAGTGCTCCCGGGCATGTAGAGAAAGCATCCTCCCTCCCTCCCTCCCTCCCTCCCTCCGGCTGGCTGGCTGGCTGGCTGCCACCCAAAGGGATTCGTAAAGAGGTGGCTGAGGGAGGGGGCCGGGAGGGGCAGCTGCCCCTCTGCCTGTGGTCCCTACCTGCAGTGGGGGGCCAGCCGCAACCGGCCAGCACGCCCAGGAGCTGCCGTGGCCCCTCCATGGCTCGCGTGTGCCGGCCAGGCGCCTCCGCTCCGTTGCTCCCAGGCCAGGCGGCGGCCGGTTCCTCCTTTGGCCCGGCCCTTTGATTGGCAGGCGGGAGCCCGAGTGGGCCCTACACCCTGCCGGGGACTGGGCAGCACGGCCTTGCCCCCACCCTTTGCGGCAGGCCCTGGAGGGCTGGGCCAGCTCCTTCCCCAGACCTCCCTTCGGCGAAAGGCCACAGGATCCCCGGAGCACTGGGGCAGAGGCGAGCGGGGCGCACCCGCGGGAGACCCAGCCCCAGCATAGCCAGTGGGAAGAGAGCGGAGCCCGGAGGGGGGAAGGCGCCGCCGAGCCCTGCCTTGGGCCCCTGCGGGTCCCTTGAGAGCCCCAGGCCCTGTGCCGCTGGAAGCAGCCCGGGGCAGTCGCTCGGGGAAGCCCAGAAGGCAACCCCAAGGCCACCAGGTGCAAACGTGGCACCCCGATCTCATGGCGGTTCAGCCAGACTGTCTGCCCCTGGCGGACCCGCACTGTCTCCGTTTCAGCAGCCCAGGGGCGGCTGGAGAAGAATCTCACCACGAGCTTGCTTTTGTTGGAGCCCAGGAAGCGGAAACCCCGGCTGATCCACCCAGAGCATCCAGAGACCTACCAGCGGATCCCACTCCATTGTGAGGAACTGCCGTGGCCGGTTCCTGGCCTCTCTAGGTCAGGCCTGAAACCCCGGAGGGGCCCTGGGGCCCGTCCACACCGCCTCTACCAAGTACAGCAGTCCAGAGGCTCCAATTCTGTCCAAGATTTCCTATGTCCCTATTTCAGTGGGACGCTTAGCACAACCATGAGAACTAGAATCTTATTTTGCCTTTAGAGAAAAGATTATAACTCATTGGTGTCACCCCCATTTTGCATGCTGAAGGTTCCCAACCTGACTCCCAGGGAGCATGCTGGGCAACCCCCCGCCCCCGCTGATCCCCTGGAAAGCCACTGCTGCCCCTCCGTGCCTCCCGAGGGCACGTCCCTCACCCCTCCTACCTTTCCCCATTCCTGGGCTGAGGGATTCTGGGGGTCCCGCTTGAGCGAAGCCCTCTTCCACGCATGCCAGTGCCCGGGCTCCTGTTCCTGCCGTGAGAAGTCGGAAGGGCAGGCGGGCCACTCCCCCTGGCTCTGCAGCCCCCAGCCTCCCCCGGCACAGAAATTTCCCTTTTCGCGGGCAGATGCGCTTTCCTTCCTCTCCGTCTAGCCCCAGCGTGGTTTTGTGTTCCCGTAACACCAGCTCCGTTTGAGAAATGCGGCAGGGCACGGGGGTCCGCTTGCTCGCCCAGCCAGTCTGGACGGCTGCGGGTCTGCCTTGTCCTCGGCCCGCATCTCCAGGGGTGCGCGGAGGAGGAAGCAGCAGCCCTCCCGTTCGGCGGCTGTGCCTCTGCCAGCCCCCAGAGGGTACCTACCTGAAAGCTTGAATCCCACACCAGCAAGGAAAAGGGCCGGGCGGTTTCCCTGCACTGCTGTCTGGCCTCCCCTGTCCCCTAATCCGGGACACTTTGCTTTGTCCTGCACCTTTGAGGGCTGAGATGGTTTAAAGTGCGGGGCGGGGGCCGAACGCAGAGGTCCACTCCGGGGCTCTCCAGAGGCCACGCCTCCTTTCCCCTGCCCACTTGCCCCCAGACACTTGCTTTGGAGCAGCTCCTTCCCCATCCTAGCAGGTAGAAATGCCTACGGCTGAGACTGCGTGGGGCAGCCCCATGGGCTGAGCGAGGTTCTGCCAGTGAGCCTTGCAGCTTTTAATGAAAGAGCTTTGGGGTTTAAAGCTAGCGCTCACTGCGTTGCCTCCTCACGGGGGAATTTAAATGGCTCAGCTAGCAGTTCTGCGGATCATGACCAGGCGTTACAGTGTGATTTGCCCTGTGAATTATCCCAATATCCATTCTCTTCCCTGAGGCAGCCAGGGCTTTAGTTACTGGTTTGTGTGGTTTCCTTCATTTCCTTTCAAAAAGCCAAGCAGCACTATTTCGCTGTTCCAAAATGACATATCCCAAGAAAGCTGGTAATCAAGCCCCGCTCTTCTGCATACAACGGGACATGGAGCCAGTTCAAAAAGGCCACTCCATATTCAGAGGGCAATTAGCACCTGGCGCTCCCCGGACCACCACCCCTCTGGCTTTTAAAATAAATCAGCATTGGACTCTGCTAACCTTTTGTTCACCCAAGCAAACGCTCATGTGTGAGCCCAGCCTGATGCTCAGCCCGAATCTGCCTCCCAGTTACCTGAGCCCACGATTCCACGTTAAAAACAATGCAAGCAAGCTTTGCAGGGGGCTCTTGTTCTTGGAAAAGAGAATTTGCTAGTAATTTCTAACTTAGATAATGTCCAGATGATTTTCTCTGATCATGCCACATTTATTCATGCCTTTTGCTTGCACCTCAACTTTCTGCCCACAACAGGCACCTCAGGAGGCAGGTGAGAGGCCGCCCAGGCCACACATCCATCCCAGCAGCGTCGGGCTCAGGGGGCCTGCCTGGTCCCATGGAGGCCGGCAGCAAGACGGATGATCCCGTGCGGCACGGCCTTCGGCTGCCTGGTGGACCGGGGAGGGGAGGGGGCCGTACCAGCATTGGGACCGATCCGGCTAGTCTTGCTCAGCTGGGGGACTCGGCTTGGCGAGGTGCAGCTGGTCCGAGGGACGCCCTCCCTGGCCTCGGGGCAGCAGGGGGGAGTGCCGGGAAGCCTCCTGCGTCCAGCATCAGCAACAGGGCCGGGCAGAAGTGCCTGGGGGGCACAGCTGAGCTTGCAGGGGCGGTTTCCCTGCCCAGACCCAGGATTGGACGGCGATGTAGGGGGGCTGCTTAGGGCCTGGGTGTCCGACCGAAAGCAAGGGTAACCATTAGTGGGGGATCATCGGGATGGTGGCCAGTGATGAGTGGGGTCCCCCAGGGCTCTTTCCTGGGCTGATCCTGTTTAATCTTTTCATCAATGACATGGAAGAAGGGGCGACCAGTCTGCTGATCAAATTCGCAGACGACACTAAAGCTGGAGCAGTGGCCACAACTGAGGAGCAGGTACTCCAGATCCAAAAGGAGCTGGACAAACTACGGAAGTGGGCAGGAGACAACAGGATGGCGTTCAACGTGGATAAGTGCAAGGTCTTGCACTTGGGGCATAGGAAGGGGTGTCATAAGTGCAGGTCAGGGCACACTCTTGACCTGGTCTTTTCAAAAGGACAGGAGGATTTGGGCATGGTCTGGATGAGGCGGGTGTAATGCCAACCCCTTTGTCACCAACACCAAGACCACTTCCTGGTGAGATTTGGACTGACAACCACTTCCCCACCCTGCAAGGGTGGGGGACCTACCAGACCCTAATGGATCTGGATGGCTTCCAGAGCAATTTCCCAGTTGATATGGCCGGTGCTCCTGTCGAAGCCCAGGCTGCTCCGCGGAATAAGGAAGTGACTCAGGCAACAGAGGCGATCACCTCTAAACACCCTCTTCCCCTGCAGAGAGCCCGCTCGCTCGGCTCCTTGGGATAGGAAAGAGCTGCAGGCAACGAAGTGAGGGGTAGCTGGGTCGAGTGCAGGGGGAGGAGGACCGGGATGAATCTGACAAAGCACGACTTGACGCTCATGACCGAGCCTATTCCGTGGCAGCGAAGGCAGCACGGAGACGCTGCTATTCTACCAGCACTGCCTCCTCAGAGCGCGGCCTGGCATAGCTATTCCTAGTGGTTTGGGGCTGACGTTGAACTGCCCCGAAAGGGGACCAAACAGAGTCCTTGGGGGCCTGCTGTGATGAGTTTGCCCAGCACTTTGAGGGTAAACGCTCAGATTCGTCATGGATTGGACTCTACGTTTCATGTGTCCCTAAAACAGAGATTTCCAGTGTACCAGCTAGTTCTACTCAACTGGATGAGTTTCAGTCGCTGAAGTCTGAGGATATGGACAAGATCCTTGGAGATGTTCACCCCATCACCTTTGACAAAGGAGCAGTACAAAACCGCCTTAAACAAAAGAAATCGTCCTCCTACCAGATATCTCCATGAAGTCATCAAGGTTGGGCTGCAGTGGAGTCAAGTCCGGCTGGATCATGTCCGCATTGCCGGCGTAGGCTGCAAGGGGAGAGAGCAAGGTGAATGCTCAGGAGAAGCGCAACACAATGCCCCTCTTTTCTGGTTCAGGCTCACCACTTGGGCCAAGAAGCTGTCGTGAAGTTTTGTTGAAACCTGAAACCCAGCCTTGTTGAAAGGTGTGGAGGAGCTCCCTTTAGCTGGGCTGGGGCTTGGCCAGAGTGTTGAGAGAGCCATCGACTGCCTGCATGAGGTTCCCCTGATGTTCTAATGGCAAACGGAGGCAGGCAGGGTCCAAACCGAGAGCCGGGGCTCTGAGCAACATTGTCGGGCCGTGCAAGCACCTGGGCATGACCGGACTGGCCTACCTGGCTCCATTTTCACTGTGGCTAGCACGATTCCTGCCAAGAAGCCTCTGGGAAAGGTGTGGAGGGGGTGGCTAGCTCATTAGTTTGGGCAACAGGCAAAGAGAGGTAGACTGCACCATTTGTGGAGGTTCCATTTCGCAAACCGTGCCAAGCGCTCTCACAGGAGCTGCTTGCAGGATCTCTGGGTGGAATGAGCTCATCTCTTCACTGTAGGCGCCACTCCAGCACCGCTGAGAGAGGTTGTCTCGCCTCTGCTTCATTGAGTGAAGAGCCCACCAGCTCCCTGGGGACCCTCCTGGTCAGGGTTAGACATCTCTCCACGTGGCCCTTGCCTTGGGAGCTTTGCCACGGGGCTTCTGCAACCCGCTCCGTGTGCAGCTGTCCTCGTCCAGGCCCGGAAGCTGCAGCGAGCGCAGAACACGGCGGGGGGGGGGAGACCCCCAGGGCCCCTGCTCTGAGCAGCGCCAATGAACCGTCCTGGCCACCAAGCAGCCGCCGAGCCGCATTTGTGCCACGCAGAGAACCAGAATAATAGCAGACCCTTCAGAGCAGCAGAGAAGGCCTTGCTGTTCACTCCGAAATTTGGAGAATGCGGTACCTTTTCCGTAGTGGCACCCGCCCCAGTCCAGAAAATGAATCTGGGAGGCGGACGATCTGGCGCCTTTCAAATGTTGCCTGAAGGCTCGTCCCCCCACCCCGCGGGTTCCACATGGCCCATCATTCACTCCCCTTGCCGCTCAACAGGGCTCCGCCTTGTTCTTACCGGAGCTGGACCCCTTCTTAAAGTTGCACTTCCGATGTCTTAAATGCCCTTCTAATCCTAATAAGCAAACCACTTGCAGACTTTACGATACTTCGCACGTACGGCCAGTGAGCAAGGCTCGCTGAATTCGGCTCCCCGGCCTCTCCGGCCCCTCGGCTCGAGTCAGGCCCGCAGTGCCACAGGAGGTGGGCTTGCCTCCCTCTCCTGCCTGGAGAGCTGGGGGGGCACCAGCGGGGCTCCGCCCCACGTGTGGGGCTTTTTCAGGCACCTGCCGCTGGACGGGGCACAGTCCGTGGGGTGTCCTCCCAGCCTTTGCACACTTCCCCCGTTCCAAACCAGACAGAAGTGTCTCTCCCGGTTGAACGACTGACCGCCCACGAGCGCAGCTGGCCGTCCCGGTCCTGGCCTTGCCTCCGCTTGCTGCCTTTTTGGCCCAGCGTGGGCCTTCTGCCTTCGGGGTGCAGCCCCTGAGGGCATCTCCACAACCGAAACTGCCCCCCTGGCCAGAAAGGGTTTGGCACATGCCACCAGGCCCCACGCTGAGCCTTCCAGGGGGCCTGGCTTGCCAGGGTTGGAGGAGGGAGAAAGCGGCGCCAGCCTGGGCTCTGAGCCGGCCCATTGCAAAGATTACCATCCTCTGGCGAGGGCTGGGAGGGGCCGCTGCCTTGGGTCATGGTGAAGAGCGTGTCCGAGATATCCGAGAGGAAGGTGTCCACGTCAAAGAGCTGCCTCCGCTCCTCCTCTTCCTCCTTGTCCCTCAGCAGCATCGGGACCACGTTGCAAAAGAGCTGGTCACACCAGTGGTCCGTCCGGGCCCAGCCCTGCTCCTCCTAGAGGGGTGGGCGCCAGGCTCAGGCGGGGCTCTGCTCCGCGGGCGGCCTTGCAGGAGTCCGGCCCATCCCGGCCCAGCCCGGCCCGGCCCGAGACTCCCGTTCCACACTCACCGGTCTGGGGCTTGGGACCGCCTCTTCCTGGCTGAACCTGTGGAGCTGCAAGAGGCAGGCCTGTTAGCGCCACGCTGCTGCGGCTGTGGGAGACCGCGGCGGGAGGAGGGCCGGCTGCCCCTCAGCGAGGCCGGGAGAGCCTGCTGCCAAAGGCACGGAGCGCTTTGGACTGCTACTTGCCACCCCACGGGTGGAAATCTTGCGTGGGAAAGGAGGCCCAGAGGGTGGGAGCCCCATCCACGCACGGAGCCCACGAGCCATGTCCGGCCACAAAGGTGGGGCAGGGGACACAGCCTGGGGCGCGGCTGGGTTTCTGGGCGGCTGCCAGGCGTGTTCCCAGTGCCGGGGCCGCATCAAGGCCGTTTGGCAAGAGCCGGAGCAGGGCTACAAATATTGCATAATACAGGGGCTGGGGTGGTGTATCCACTCCAGGTTTCAGCCTGCACTTCGAAGGCATTAATGGTGCTGAATCCTTCTGCTTAACTGAGCTGCAGCACCATGAGTCACCCTTAATGTTCCTACTGAAACCTGGAGTGGATACACCACCCCACTGCCAACGGAGCAGCTACTGCTGGATCGCTCACTCCAGCCCAGTGTCCTGTCTCCGCCGCCAGACAGCCAGACAGCTCTGCGGAGCCGCTGGGCCAGTGTGAGACACACAGCCCCTTTGCTCGACAGCTGCTGGAGGCAGGGCCTTCCTGCTCCCACGTGAGCATGGCTACTGGGGGCCCAGCCCTGGCCACCAGTTCTGCAAAGGACCCACCCAACATTCCCCTGGCATGGGAGATGGGGCCAGGGCAGAGAGGCCTGCGGAAAGAGAGTCTGACCTTCTTCTTGTGGTAGATCCGCCATTTGTGATACTCCTTCATCACCACCTCGATCCTGCGCTTCCAGTAGTTCCCCTCCAGCACCACAGCCTGGGAAGGAAGGCAACCGACACAAGAGTAAAAGCAAAGGCTCTCTCACCTCCAGAAATGTTGGGCTGCAATCTCCTCTGTTCTCAGGCACTTAGGCTAGTGAAATCTTTTGGTGGCCACTGGTGTTTTAGTTGTTGCATTGGGAGGGGGTTATTTTAGATGACACAAAACTGGGTGGGATAGCTACTACTCCAGAAGAAAGAAGCAAAATTCAAAGTGATCTGGATAGGTTGGAGTGAGGTAAAAGAATGAGATTCAGGAGGGACAAATGCCAAAGTCTTTGCCCAGGAAGAAGAACCCAAATGCACCATTAGAAGATGGGGAACACGTGGCTCAACAGAACTGCAAGTGAGAAGGGTCTTGGAATGGTTGTGGGTCACAAGCTGCATATGAGCGATGCAGCTCCAAAAAAGGCCGATGCTCTTTTGGGCCGCTACGCAAAGCAATCGCAATCGCAAGCGTGTGCTGGAGCATATTAAACCAGACGCGTCCCTGGCTGGCAAGATAACAAAGCTGAGGCTCATGTATTTTGACCAGATTATGCAGTCAAGTTCGTTAGAAAACAATATAATGCTTAGAACGCTCGGTGGCAAGAGAAAAACAGGTCACCCACGAGCGGCGTGGCTGGAGCCCCTCAAAGAGCATGTGGGCCTGAGCACATTCAGCGGAAAGAGGCGGCACTGGAACAAAGAGTGGCAAGATTTGGCCCATGGGGTCACTTACAGTCAGATACAACCGAACAGCTGAGCACACGCGTGAGGCGTTTTAGAAACATGCAGAACGAAAGGCGTGAGGAAGAGAAGGGCGTCCAGCTACTGAAACTGGATGGCAGAGTGATAACAGATGGCAAAGCAAAGGCAGAGGTGCTCAGTTCCTGCTGTGCCTCAGCCTTCTCCCACAAGGAAATCTGCAACCAAGAGGAGGTACGAGCCGGGAGCGAGAGGTGGCAGCCCCAGATTGACGGACAAATGGTCGAGGGATACCTAGATTGTGATGCAATGAACACGTTCAAATCTCCCAATTAACTCCATCCCAGAGTCCTGAAAGAGCTAAAGGAGGAACTCGCAGAACCGCTGGCTATCATCTTCGATAAATCTTGGAAAACAGGGGAAGTGCCAGACAGCTGGAGAAGGGCTAGTGTCCCTTTCTTCAAAAAGGGGAAAACAGATGAACCTGGGAACTACAGACCAGCTAGTCTGACATCGATCCCTGGAAAAGTTCTGGAGCCAATTATTAAAAAATCAGTCTGCATGTACCTCAAAGAAAATGGAGCGGTTAATAAAAGCCAACATGAATTTATCAAAAATAAATCCTGTCAGACTAATTTAATCTCATTTTTTGACTGGATAACCGCCCAAATGGACAAAGGAAACAGTGTGGACATAATCTACCTTGATTTTAATCTACCTTGGGTTAATATGGGTTACCACATGGTTAGAACCCTGACAAAATACAAGCCATGGCTTGTTAAGCACAAAAAAGGCAGTTCACAACAGAACTATAACTTCCTTTCATAAGTTGTTTGTAGCTAAAAAACCATGGCTTGTTAGCATGACTGTGTTCAGACAACACGGCAACCCATGTTTCAACTACAACCCCCACTCAGTTCCATCGCCAAGTCCTGCTGAATATGAAACCATGTGCGCTGGCACGTACCTCTGGCTTCCGGTGCTCGTCCGCCTCAGAGCCGTCCAGGGGAGTGACGAACCCGCACACGGGGGTCCTCCTGCGTTCCACATCTGCGGCAGAGACTCCATTAGAAGCAAGGCTCTCACCTCCTCCCTCCGGGGGGAAGCACTCATTCCCTCCGCCAGCAGCTGCCCAGCCAGAGAATCCTGCACCACCCAATCAGTGGCATCCTCTGCACAGAAGCCACAGTGGCTGGGAAGCCCTCCCTGAGCACTCGCTGGGCCGGGGACACTTCTGCTCCTAGACGCACCGACCAGAGTGAATTCCAGCATGCCAGCTCCTTGCATAAACCTGAGGATGGACACCGTGCCGAGAGAGGCTCCCCCAGTGGTGCAGCGGAACCAGGTCCACAGGGGCGAACCTCCAGGACTCTTTTGTCTTCGGGGCACAGATGTCATCGGCTGCTTGCCCAGACCGAGCTGAGCTGCAGGCCACGGGAGCCTGTGGACTGTGGAAGCATCCGGAGACACCTGCCCCGAGGACAGGACAAAGCCAGCACTTAATGCTAAATGCAGCACTAGCAGGGGCACATGCTGGGGGGGGGGCGCTACAAGCCCCTTCCTGCTGAGGGTGGCCATGCAGCAGCACATGGAAAAGCACATTGAGAACAAACAAGCCCCTGCCCTTGGAGGGTGGCCTCTTGCAGGGGGAGCGTCCAGGACTGCTTTGCACATCGTGACTCAGAATTCATTCCAAAGAAGGGAGAACTGTGGACTTGAGTTTGTCTATTCAGAGTAAGCCGCACAAGAAAGAGAAACCACTTCCCAGGCTCGGAAACCACAAAACAAAGTTTTACTCCTCAAAGCAGCCCTTTGAGGAATAAAATGATAAATATGTTTAAATATTAGGGTGTTGGCTCTTCTTCCATGGGATTATTTTGGATGTTCTCTAGTTTTCACTTCCTCTTCTCCATAGAGAGCACCCAGGCGGAGTCATTCTTTCCATCTTTGCTTCCAGACCTTTGCACACGTTCTGTGCAAAGCGTTGCCTGCTTTTCTCCTCCCTTTTGGTGGTCTCCAATGACCACCTTGCAGTCTGCCGATTATGGAGGGATAGGATACACATAGCGGCCAAAGTTTATTTTGAGGTGCACGGGTGTTGATTCAAGGACTGGCACATGCTTGCCTGAACAGATGCCCCTGGAAAGCAAACTTAGAAGGCCCGATGCAGAATTTTTGCTTGATGCAGAATTTTTGTTTTCCAAAAGCAAAGCTAGGGGAGACTTGGCAAATTGAAAACAAATAACAGCATCCAGATTCCTGGAATACCTTTTATTGGGCCACATGGTCACCGAAATTTGTGCAAGCTTTCAAAACAGGAAAGCTATGAAGAGCCCTGAAGTTCCTCAAACTTGCACATGGGGGTAAACGTTTAGTTTTGCACTCGGGTCACCCCCACCATGCACCCAACCATGTTTCGGTTCTGAGGCAGCTTTAGGAGACCACGGCATGCCCTGCCAGTGATCCCCGTGTACCTTGGGATACCCAGCCCCCCAAAACACCATGCCCCAAACTCACACTGAATATACCAGGCTCTCCAGATGGCATTGTTGAGGCGGATCTTGTCCCGGCAAAGCAACTGCAAGCCCTTGAAATTCTTCCATTTGGGGGACACCAGTTTCCCACTTGAAAAGTCAGAAAGCAAGATATGAATTGGGAGTAGATGTAAAAGCTGAGCAACGCAAGGCCGTGGGCTTCGGGGAGGCGGGAGGGAACCTCCTGTGCTTTTAAACGGCTCCAAGGCCATTAAAAGCAGAAAGCTGAGTGGTGAAGATTGTCCGACATTTGCTCAGGAAATAGAAACTATACCAATAGCCAGGTAGCTAAATCAATTTACCAGGTAGCTAAACTATCTATTTGTCTATTCATAACATTTTTATCCAATCTTCAGCTGAAAAGGCCCCTGGAGTGGCTTTTTCCAACTTCATTATTGTTCCACGCTTCTGAGTTCGCCCACATTGAGCCCTCGTTAACCTCATTCTTTCCCTTGCTCTTTGGCGCCTCGCCCCCCCCCCAAGGTGGCGTGCAGGGGAATCGTGCTCGTCCGTGTTCCTTCCGTCTTTCACCCACCTGAGCCTCCTGCCAGTCAGTGCCCAGTGCCAGCGCCACCTCTTCAGCACGAGGGGCTTCTACGCCTGACGAACGACTGAGCTCTCCATCCCCGCACTCCTGCTGTGAGCCATGCCCAGCCTCTGGTCCCCCCTCCTCCCCACAGATTGGTAGACCAGGGCTGCCACCAGCTCCAAAAAGCTGACCCCTCCTCCCCCTCCCCGCCCCCACCGTCTCCCCAATCCCACAGGTGAGTCAGCCCAGGCTCCCATCAGCCAGCTCCTCCCCGTCTATCTTCCTGGACAAGCCCCGAGCTCGCTCTGCTGCCTGGCCTGCTGAGATTCCACACCCAAATCTTCTCCACACTCTCTGACCTTGACTCCCCATTGAGCCAGGCAGCTGCATGCGGCCACCTTAGCACGGCGCCTGCGCACAACAGCTTGTGGGCTTTTCAGGGGCAACCAGGTGGCCGGCACTGGGAACAGGAGAGCAGGACTTGTCACGTTGTCACCTCAAAAGGGTCTTCTAGCTGGATCGTAAGGACAAGACTGATCCAGCAGGCCTTTGCAAGCCCACTGAATTTTAGCTGCGCGTGTGCAAAACGGAGCCCTCCATCCTGACTGCTGAGCACAAATGTCCGTGCTGGAGAGCTGGTCAACTCCCAGAAGGAAAGGTGCACACGCCTAGTGTGCAGAATGGCCTGCCTCCCCACAGGCCAAATCTGAGGGTGATGCCCGCCCGCCCGTCCGCCCGCCCCTGGCCAGCTGCTCTGATTCCTCAGCACCGCCGGAGCGAGGCACGCCAAGAGGCAAGCAAGGGCCCTCGGGAGCTGCAGCCTGCACCCCCCTGGGCAAAGCCGCTGCGCCCCGGCCCTGTGCCAGAGGCTTGCCAGGTCCCCGCTGCCTCTGCTCCCTCCGCAGGCAGCCCACCGGCAGCGCCACACATGCGTTGCTGTCCGGGGTGCTGGCTATCACCCGCGCACTGGTCACAACGAGCAGCTGTTTCCAGTCTGGGAGGGCCTTGGAAAAGCCCCCCAGGGAGCCCGATATCTCACTGCCAGCATCGCCAGCTGCAGTCCCTGCGGCTAGGCCTTCGTCGTGACCACAGCGCCCCCTGCAGGCAGCCGCCCGCAGCGGCCTCTCCCGCCGTGCGCTGTCCAGGGTCCTGAAGAGTCCCTCGCTCTCTGGGACCCGACGGCACTCGACCCCTCTCCCTGTCGCGTCCTAGATGCTATAGAGGGAGGGGTTCTCACGCAGAGGGTCCGAGAGACGACGAGGGGGGGAAACATCCTTGACTTGGTCCTGACCCACAGGGAGATGCTGATAGAGGTGCAGATCAGGGGAGCTCAGGGTGCGAGTGATCACTCCATCCTTTGCTTTGAGATCAGGGGTCTGGGGACGTGCAGCAGGTCGAGCACCAGAAGCTGGGACTTCACGAGGGCCAACTTTGGGCAACTGAAGCCCAGACTGGGGAAGGTCTCCTGGGATGGGTTACCGGAAGGCAAGGGAGCTGAGAAGGGTGGCTGGCACTCAAAAGGGAGGTTGTGCAGGCGCAAGCCTTGATGATACCTCTAGTTAGTAAGGTGGGGAGGCGGAGGAGAGGCCGCCATGGATGCGAAAGGAGGTGGTGAGAGAGAGCTGGCTGGAGCCAGGGGTCAGACTAGATGGCCTGGGAGACCCCTTCTGACTCGCTCTGTTTCTGTGTTTCTAACACCAAACAGCCATGAAGGCGCGTCCTCCTGCCCCCAGCCAAGCATGGCTCAGAGTCTGCAGCTGGGAAGTCATTTGTGAGTGGGGGGGAGGGGGTTGGTAGGCATGAGAAGGAAGTCCGGATTTGAACCCAGAGTCTTCCAGACAGAGGCTTCTTGATGAAGGGTCTTTTACAGACTCCTTTGGGGAGGGGGCCTCCCAACGACTCTCGAAAACCTTCCCTCCTTTTTTTAGCAGATGTCTTAACATGAATGTACCTGAATGTTACACTCGGCATCTAAAGGCCTCTTTCAGCTGCCTCCTCTGAGGAGGCTCAGAAGGTTGCAATGAGGAGAGGGACTTTCGTGTTGGCCTCCCAATTTGGACATGCCCTTCCCTGTGAGGCCTGCCTGAAGCCAGCACCATGGTCTTTGCAGTGCCAGGCTAAAGCGTTCCTCTGCTCTTGGGCATTTGGCAGCAGATGATGTTTTAATACATGTGCTGGATTTCTTGGTGATGGTTAAAACTGTTCACTTACAAGTTCCTGCTCATTCTTTATATGTCTACATGTAAACGGTATACACAGTGTTGCACTTTTAAGGTTTTTAACTTTGCAAACCACCCAGACAACTCTCTTTGGCTATCTAGACATGTAAGGGATTAAAATGGAATGGAATGGAAGTTTCTACAGGAAGAAAACAAAGCCAGAAGCAGCCCTGGAGCAACATGGAAGGATTCTGTGTAAGACAAGGACGCCTGCCCCACCCCCAGGAAAATTCCACAGATGACACAAAGGAAAACGAAAGGCACCTGGGATACCTGAACGGGACCAGTCTGGGGAACTCCGGCTTACTGGCTTTCTCTCTGATTACAACAGCCTGCATCACATTTGAAAGGGGGCTCCTGCAGTGCCCAAGAGCATTAATTTAAAAAATGCTGAGCCACCGCAACCACTTCTTATCTCGTTTGCTGTATCCAAGTTCGCAGGAAGAGCTGAGCGGCTGTTTGTTCAGCCACACGTGTAACAGGGCCCGATGCCCTTTCCGCTAATCTGCACGCCGGGACCTGCACGCGACGCTGCCGCCACTGCCTTCCTGGGGAGTAAACACCAGCTGGGTGGAAATCCCCAGGAAGCCAGGCCACGCAGCTCGCCCAGTGCAGAAAAGGCTCTGTGGAAGCCACGGCTCAGCGACGAGGCGACTGGCTGGGAAGGTGCTCCTTCTAGCTTTCCAGACGGGCTCGGGCAGCTTTCCCCTCCGGGTGCCCTCCAACGCACTGGATTGCAATTCCCATCCAGGGCCATGTGGACCAGGAAAGACAGTGAGCTCGACCATCACACCTGGAGGGCAGCATGCGAGGCGCCCGGTGCCCAGGGGCTGGCCAGCTCATCCGTCAGGCAGAAGAGCTCTGCACATGCTCTTATCATCCCTGCTCCACACAGCCCAGAACTGAACAGTCTGCAGAAGCTCAAACCCAACCCTGTGTTCAGCTAGAAAGGTGAACTACCCCACATGCTGGCTACCCCACATCCTTGGCCTTGGGGGCCCTGCCCCCTTCTCTGCCACCAGCAGGGAACTGGGGCTTTTTGCACTGGGCTAGAGCAAACACTCAGCTAATGCCAGGCAGGTGAGTCAACCCAGCTCCCCTCTTCAAGAACTTACACCCGCCTTCAATCCATCGCCTTTGCAATCTCCCTGGAGGCTGCCTGTGCACCTCATGCCATAGAAAAGGAAACTGAGGTGAGGTGCAAGACCTGCTCAAGGTCTGCCAGGGGCTCCATAGCAGTGGGGGGAGAGAAAGGCTGCGTGGTCTCCTCTCCAGCTCCCGGTTTGGCCCCCAGCTTTCCAGGTTCCCACAGGCGGTTCCTGTGCGGTATGCAATCTCACTTCAGCCCTGCAAAACATGAAGCTCAGCCAGGCCCAGCCAGGGGCCACATTAGCACAGCTGGCTTTCTCATCCGGCCCTTCAGGTATGTTGGACTACAAGTCCCATCCTTCCCAGCCTGCAACCCACTGTCTTCCAAAACATCTGGAGGGCCCCCCAGTTGAGAAAGGATCCACCAACGATCGCTCAAGCAGGGCGGGCTGCAGGATTCCCAAGTTCTGGTCAAACATATTTGCAGGGCCCTGGGTTAAGGAAGGCTGTCCTAGTGGGTGAGGAAAAGGTACTCTGCATATGCTCAGAGGGGGAGCATGAATCACTCACCAAGCTGATTCCCCTTTCTGGCATGGGGCAAAGTCTGGGATTGCAGTGCAGGAAAGGGGTGAGTGAGCGGAGAAGGAAGGGGCAGAAGCACTCCTGCCCCGGGCGCATCACAGCTGAGCTTCACTCCCAGCCTCTGCCGTGGGGACAGCCTTACCCCCCCCCCTCGGAAATAGCAGGCAGGGACGTTCCCTGGGGAGCTGCCCTAACCGAGCTAGCGAAGGGGCACTTCACATCCCCACTGCAGACTCTTCATATGCACCTGGAGCCCTCCAGAGCGGAATGGGGGGGGGGGGCAGTCTGAACATTAAAGTGGCAAACAGGCCCCGGCACAAATGAAACTCCCTCCCTGCAGCCCACCCAACTGGCTCAGCCTTCTCCGAAGTGGTGTGCTTCAGGTGTGCTGCACCACAACATCCCTCATCCCCAGCCAGGTGGAAGGCTGACTGGATCCAAGGCTCATTCACAAAACAACTCCGTGATTCTTTGGAAACAGACACACACACACACACACACACACACACAAAGACCCGCTCTGCACAGCCAGAAGTGGGCAGAAAGAAACTTTACTCGGCTTGCAAACAGAACCCAGGGCAGAAAAGCCAAACTGCTCAGGGCTCGGCACCAAGGGACGACCTCCTGCCCAACAAGCCCCGAGAACTGACAAGAGCTGCTCGCGGCACTGCTGGGCGAATGCGGAACGCCCTGCATGGACCTTGGAAGGCCCAATGGGGAAGTGGGGGGCGAGCCCCCCAAAGAACTCCATCCTGCCCACAATTCCTGCAAAACTGCGGAGAGGACAGCCCGATGCCAGCCTTCCGCGGCTCTTGCGTCAATATTTACACACACGGACGGACTAAATTGATCGTGAAGCTGCATGCGCTCATCTCTCTCACAAGCCAAAGTCCCAAAGGCTTATGCAAGGTGCGTGGGGGCGGGGGGGGGGGGGGGAAGGCTGCAAGAAATTTCCACCAGAAATCTGCACCTGTGTGCGATGGGATACAGAGCACTTCCTGGATAGAAGAAATAGGCTAATTCTGTCTTCAGCCATGGAATGACCTTTCTCACACATGTATGTCCACACACACACAAATGCACACACCCTTTATTCTCCAGGCTTGGAGGCTGCAGGAGGGGGGAGCAGGGCCACAAAGGTGAGGGCAGCGATGTGTCTAATCCCTCTGACAGCCTCCTTTCGCATCCATGGCGGCCTCTCCTCCGCCTCTCCACCTTACTAACTAGAGGCATCGTCAAGGCTTGAGCCCCCAAAACCTCCCTTTTGAGTGCCAGCCACCCTCCTCAGCTCCCTTGCCTTCCAGTAACCCATCCCAGGAGACTTTCCCCAGTCTGGCCTTCCGTTGGCCAAAGTTGGCCCTCGTGAAGTCCCAGCTTCTGGTGCTCGACCTGCTGCACGTCCGCAGACCCCTGATCTCCAAGCCAAGGATGGAGTGATCACTCGCCTCCAGAGCTCCCCTGATCTGTACTTCATCTATCAGCTCCTCCCTGCTGGTCAAGACCAAGCCAAGGATGTTCCCCCCGCTCGTCGCCTCTCGGAGCCTCTGCTGAGCTGAAGTCACTAGTGACGGGCACCCTGCATAAGAAGATGGAGGCTCAGTTTAAGGTCAATTGCCTTTCATCACCTGTGCTGAAGTCAGCTCGTCATCACATTTGATCTTGGGGGGGAGGGGAGGGGAGGGGAGGGGAGGGGAGGAGCAGAGCAAGGAGCCAGCGGCCCCCGAGTTGCCGGGCACAGCGGAACCGGACGGAGTTGGCTGTCTCCTCGGCCTGGCAGCACAGTAATCCCGAGGGAGAGGGGCAGGGCCGTGCGTGTCCAGGCAGAGGGCAAGGGCTGCATTTGGGCGGGAGGCCAAACTCCCAGGGTCCTTCCCACATTTCTGTGCCTGGATTTGCCCACGCCAGGGGCCGCCTTGCCAGTCAAAGCAAACAGGGGTTGAGCACAGCATGTCCAGATGTCACCAGAGGGGCGGAAACGCTGCACGGCCCCATTCCTCTCCCACCTACAAGCAGGGCTGCCCAGCGACTCTCCCCGGCGATGGGGCAAAAAGACATTGCTCAAGGTGCCTTTGGCTGAGCCAGCGCTGGAGCCAGCCGTAGTGGGCAGAGGCTGCTGGCCCCGGCAACCCCACCCCAGCGGGAAGGAGCTCCTTTCTGGGCCCGGCCTGCTCGCTGCCAGCCGCACTGGAGACACCCGTGAGGGGCCCTCCCAGGCCAGAGACTGGCAGGGGTCCCCCGAGGTGCTGCAGGGAGCACTCCTTCGTGCGAAGCTCCGAGCAGCAGCCGTCCGCTGGGCTTGTGCCACTCCACTGTCCTCCCCTCATGAGCAGACTCTCTGCTGAAAGGAAAACAGGTGGCCAGAGAATCCGTGAGTGTGGATGAGCGGAGGACCGTGTGGGTTTCCCATGAAGGGACAGACGGACGGACGGACAGACATGGAATCCCAAAGTGCTGAGAGAGAGGAGGGCTGATGACACAGGAAAGGCCTTGTCCAGAAGAATCCTAAAAGAGCTAAAAACTTTGAAAAGGGGAGCAGCTGCTGGTCATTTTTCCTGTCTACCAGAGGCAACAGCAAGACAAAGCAGGCACCGGCACCTGGGCCCCGCTGTCCCCTCCCCTCCCCTGGGTGCTCAGGCTCACGCAGAGGACTGGGTGGGGAGGGGAGCTCATCCCTCAGATGACCAGATGCAGCCAGCAAATTTTCTTCGCTCCTGCCAGCAGCTGTTGCAACATCCTGTGGCCATGAGTTCCCCAGGCCAGTCACCACCCAGCCAAAGCAGTTGGCGGGGCTTTCTGGAGGCTCTTGGGAAGCCACTGCTGGAGCAAAAATGCTGGCCCACATCACCCCAGTGGGAAGGCTTTCCAGACTGACATCAGGATTGGCTGAACATTCCTGACGTGGGACAGTGACAGGCCGACCTACTGAGACTCAGGCCTGCTCCTCGCTCCCAGAAGGCCCCTGCCCTGCAGCACCGTGGGAGAGCCTTGCGTCTGCCAGGACTGGATTTCAGGCGCCCTGGCCTGCTCAGCCTAACCTTTCCCCTACCCAGGATCTTGATGAAGTTTCAAGGGGTTGTGAAGCCTAACGAGTGTGGCAGAAGTTCAGGCTGGTTCGAGAGGAGGAGGAGGGACTCTGATGGAATTATCTGACACTGCAGAAGCCAGATAATTCGGTCACGCTTTGGTGGGGAACAGGCTGCCCTTCTCCTACACGGGCTGAGTTCCCAGGCGTGCCCCAGAAGAACCGCCAGTTCCCTCCAGGCTTCCTGAGAAAAGGCTCCCCCGGCCGGAATGCCACCCTTCTCCCAGGCCCCGCCGCACGAGGCTCGGCCTCGGCTGGTGGGGCCGGCACAGACTCACCTGTATGCCAAGCTCATGCACTCGAAGAGCCGCGTCAGGGTGGGGTCGATGCTCGGGGGGGCGGGAGGCTGTGGCTCGGCCAGGTGGTGACGGCGGCGTGAGGTGGCATCGCTGTGCGGAGACGACACCATGAAGTGTCCGCTGTGGATGACCTGGGAGTGGGCCGAGAAGCCCGTATCGGGCTGGGCTCTGCCAGAGGCCGGGCTGTCCGAGTCCGAATCGGAGGCAGACCTGGGTCCCATTCGGGGTTCCAGGTAAGGGCCGGGCTGCCCAGGCTGGATCGCAGCCATGCCAGGCCACGCCGGGCCGGAGGGAGGGGCCCTCTGTGTGTGGCTGCAAGTGCCGGCCTCCTTGAGCGGGTTCCACGCGGGCACAGCAAGCACCACCGGCTCGCAGGGACACCAGCGCTCTCCTGGATGCGGCTCCCCGAGGGCCGCATTTTATAGTCCAGCCCAAAGCAGCTCTGCCCCCAAAGTGGGTGGGGACACAAACCGCAGGGAGCACTTAACGCTTCACGTTCAGGGCACCAGCAAGACCCAAGCGGAGGACCAAGCCCCTCCACTGCGGCGCCAAGGCTGAGGTCAGTTCCTGCAGAGGGATTCCAGCTTCGGACGCGGACTGCCCTGCGCCCTGCAGGAAAGCGGCTGCCTGCTGAGCGCTGCTGGCGGAGCAGCTGCTGAGGGACATGACCGCATGGCCGAGTCTGGCACCGGGCTGCGCAGATTAGATGTGCTCGCGCCCCCCCCCCCACTTCTCCTTGTGGGAGAAGAACTCGCGCAGCTGCCCGGGAGCTGGCCAAACAGCCTGTGTTTGCACTGGCCAGGGACTGCGGGGGTGCGGATGGTGCGGTGTTTGCTCAGCCCAAGCGCCCCCCCAACAGCCTCCCCAGCAAGCAAACAGAGCAGGAGGCAAAATTAAGTGCAGGTCGCGAGCCAGGCATGGCACAGCGGGACCCGCAGGGGAAGCCACTGCGCCCATGCACAACGCTGCCGGGCCCACAGAAGCCGACAAGATGCGGAACGACACCCGGAGGACCAGGGGACGCCAACTGCAAGGACGACGCGGGGGCCCCGGGCTGCCCATCTGCGGGAGCTGTTTCTGCGAACGAGGCGAGGAAGGTTCTACACCCTCAGCGTCCCCAACGTTCCCTGGGGACCAAAGGGTAGCTGGAATGCAAAGGCTGAGCTGAGGAGGGAGGCGTGTGAGCGGGATCCCAGCAGCGTGCCCCAGTGAGGCAGGGAAGCCCTGGAGGACTGTTGCTGCCAGTCAGTGTTGATCGTATGGGGCTGGAAAGGTCCAGGGTCCGACTCAGCCTAAGGCAGATTTTCATGTTCCTAGTTCAGTCAGCCCTTGACTCGCAACCATAAAAACTAGAACCTTCCTTTAGGCTTACGGGAAAAACATAGTTCAGTGTTGTTGCTAGTGGTGAAGTTGCATCTGATCCATCGCGACCCGTGGACAACACTCCTCCAGGCCTTCCTGTCCTCCGCCATCCCCTGGAGCTCACGCCGACCGCTTCAGGGACGCCGTCCAGCCGCCTCATCCTCTGCTGTCCCCGCCTGCTGTTGCCGCCAATTCGGTGTTCAGTGTTCGGGGTTCAGTGCTAGGGGCCCTGCTTTCTGCGTGGTCCGGGAAGGGCTGGAAAGGTCCCTGCCGGAAATCCCAGGTAGCTGGTGCTGCTGCCAGCCCGTGTCAGAAGCATCAGCCCCGCTGGACTCAGCAGAAGGCAGCATCCAGTGTTCCAGGGGAAAGAGGGAAAAGCCAGGAGAAGCAGTTCTGCACCGCCTGGGAAGGTCCGTCAACGCAGGCTGGGAAGGGCGGCAGAGGAGCCACCCCTTCTGTTCCCCAGAGGTGCCCTGTGCCCACGGCCTGGGAGCACCAAGGATGCCTGGCCTGAGCGCAGCAGCGGGGCCTGGCTGGCGAGCCCCCTCCAGCGGATGGCCCACAGAGGTGTTAGGACCACAGCTCCCATCACTCCCAGCCAAGGGTGAGGGACACCTGCGGGAGGGCAGGCTCCCCACAGAGCGCCTGGCTCTTCTGTGGGGCTTGGCTGGCGCTGCGGGCGCGCACGGCTTCATTGTTCCGGGCAGCGATGCTTTCACTGCCCCTTGTAAAAGCGCCCAGAGTGCCGCGCGGGAACGGAAAACCAGAATCTGTGAGAACCAGCTGTGTTCCAGCTGTGGAATCCGTGAAGTCCCGTAAGGATCGGCACTCCCAGCCTGTACGGCTGCTTCTCCTGGCCTGGGGCCAGATGCCCGCCGGGCCCGTCGAGGGACACGGCGCAGCTCCTCCCCGTCACCGCGGTGGCACAAGGGGTGCCTCTCCAGGCGGAGGCGAGGATCCCAAGTGGGCTTCTCCCCGTCCAGGTGCGCTCCGGGCTCCGGCACCGCGGAAAGGGGCCCCAAAGGGCCCGGGGTGTGACGGGCGCAGGCAGGCAGGCAGCCGGCCCGGCCCTGGACGTGTGTGCCCTCCACAGGGGCGTCCCAGGGTCTCCACCCCGCGGCAGCGCCGTCCTCCGACTCGCCCTCCCGCGGCGTGCAGCCCTGCTCCCCCGTCCTCTGGCTCGCCGAAGGGCGCCGTGTCCAGCGCCCCGGACGGCTGCCTCGCACAGGGCCTTCGCTCTGGCGGAGCCCGCGGCTGTCGGTGCGGAGGAACACGTGGGCGCTGGCGTGGGGGAGGACAGGGGTTGCCTGGGGCCAACAGGTGGTTTAACGTTCTTATTAATTGTTAATTATAGATGATAATTGCCAGTTATTATTTTGAAGCTATTAATAAATGAATGCATGAGTCACCCTGCATAAGGGTATACAGGGTGACTCATGCATTCGATTATTTATTAACATTGCTGAATATTGCTATTCTTTTCTGACACCAGGACTGCAGAAAGGGCACTGCAAAGAAATTGCATCAGTTGGGGTGCCGCCTGCTGGCCCCCAAAAGCGAGTCTTTCAGATGCTGAAAGCCCCTGAAGGTCCGCTCCTCACCGTGCCAGGACACCTGTGGGCTTGGCTGGCGTGAGTGCCCCCCGGGCCCAGGGCCCCCAACCTCTGCATACTGGACAAAAAAGCAAGTGATGCCAGAGGGGCCCCAGATCTGTGCAAAGGACGGGACCCCCGGCCCTCTTCTCGGAGAGGAAGGAGGACCCGCAGCACCTCATGAAAACGGACGTTAGCCACGAAGGGGGTTGTGCTGGGCAGGGCAGGCAGACCGAGCGCGGAGGGAAAGCCAGGCTTGCCCTATTCTTTCAGGCCCTTTCCCGGCTGTTTGGCAGGCACAGCTGTAACGTACGCGTGTGCGTGTGCGTGTGCGTGTGTGTGTGTGGCTTTATCAGGTCTCTGCCCCAAGGAGCGTCCAATCTGAAATTCAGTGTGATGGGAACACTAGAGGGAGAGCAGGGATAACTGTGGCAGCGACGGGTTGCTGTTTCAGGAAATAACGGCAGAGGGGCCTCCCCTGCCAGGTGCCCCCAGAGGAACTCAACTCCGAGGTCGCAGGAGGCGCCTCAGGCGAAAAGGACCTGGCGATAAGAAACGGGGCTTCCTGGACAGGGGGATGGACAACCCGCGCTGGGGCTTCCACACAGTGAGCGTTTATTTAGAGCCCCCATCGTCCCTGAGCAGTGGCCATGTAGGCTGGGGCTGATGGGAACTGTAGTCCAACCATCAGATGGCCTGCACAGCACCCACGGGCTGCTTGCTGGACTCTTCGTGCCCAGGAGGGGGCAGCAGAGCCTGGGGGTCCTTCTACTTTCTCACGGAGATCCGTCCTTCCTCTCTGGCGAGATCTGAGGTCTCCAGCCAGGGAAACGCAGGTCTTGCACTCCGGTTGAGGAGTCTCATGCCAATGCGCCACATTCCCAGCCAGTTAGCTGGAAGACCTTCCTTTGAAACAGTCTGAGAACCAAGCACTGGGCGGCTGGGGGTGGGGGAACCGACCAGGCCCCATACCTTGGCCAGAGAAGGAGCAGGGGGCTTGTCGCTCACTTCCAAAATTAACAAGAACTATGCAATTAAGAACTGGTGCTTGAGATATATTTTTCCTCATTCCTCTCAATCCTTTTGTCTCATGTCTTTTAAATTGTAAGCCTGAAGACACGGGCTATTTCATGTAAACTGGGCTGGGACCCTTTTTGTCGAAAAAGCAGTGGCCAAAACACTGGCTGTCGATAAATAGGGAAGCAGAACAGCAGTAGAGTTGGAAGGAGGCTATAAGACCATCGAGTCCAGCCCCTGGACTCACTGCGGCAAATACATCGGCTGCATCCCTACCTGGACAGACGGATCCTGGCCGCAGTAACTCATGCCCTGATAACCGCCAGGGTAGCTCGACACGGGACTGTCCTTGAAGGCGATCTGGAGACTTCGGCTGGTTCAAAGTAGGGCCACGTGATTAGTATCTGGTGCCAGCTCACAGGCCCATATATCTGTTGGAGCACGTCCTGCCTTCCTCTGCAGGGGAGAAAGGTCTCTACCCACCTCAGTGTGACATCCTCTCACATGCCTGTATGTCGCCAACAGATCCCCCCTGAGTCTCCTCTCCTCCAGGCTGAAGAGACCCAGTTCCCTCAGTCTCGCCCCATACGGCTTCCCCTGCCAACCGGCCCCCAACCTTGGGGCCCTGCGCTGCACTGACTCCAACCTGGCTATCTCCTTCCTGTAACGAGGGGCCCAGAACTGAGCACAAGACTCCAGTTGCGGGCGCGCCTAAGCACAGCCGTGGACTGGATGAGAGCCAACGAACTGAGACTCAGTTCAGATAAGATGAAGCGGCTGTTGGTGGGCGGATCATCTGTCCGGCTGGGGGCATTTCAACCTGTCCTGGATGGACGGGGCCCGCAGCTTGCGGTGCTCCTGCACCCAGGACTATCACTCGATTCTTCAGTGGACTCAGTGGCCGGGCGCACCTTCCTTCGGCTGCAGTGGGTTTATCATCTGCGGTCTTTCCTGGACAAACAGACCTTGGCAACCTTGTCTGGACCCTGTGCAGCACTGCCTTTGAAGACTGTCTGGAAACTTTAGCCGGTTCAGAAGAGGGCAACACATCTGTTAACACGGAATGGTTGGCGCATCCATCTCACACCAGTTCTTCACCAGTGAAGGCCTGGGCCCGTGTCAAGTCCTTGCTTCGACATAGAAAGCCCCACACGGCTTGGGGCCAGGATACCTGAAGAAATGTCTGCTGCTACCTGTTCCTGCCTGATCACCAAGCCTGCCTACAGAGGCCCTTCTCAGGAAACTGCCCCCAAAAGGCGAGGGGGCAGCAAACAGAAGGGCCTCCGCAGTGGCTGCGCCCCACCTCCGGAATATGCTCCCCAGAGACGCACGCCTGGCGCCCTCGTCATCATCCCAGTGCCAGGGAGATGCTTCTATTCACCAGGCATTTTAAGAAGT